CCAGAGGCCTCCAGCGGCCTCCAGGGGGGCTCCAGGGGCCTCCGGGCCCTGCAGAAAACCTCCCAAAAAACTCACCACAACGAAAAATGCGCCCGCCGCGTACGCGGCAAAGCCTCGAACCCTGGGCGAGGCTGAAATTTCATGCGGGATGGTCAGGCTGGACTAGGGCATCCAGCCTCAGCGAACAATCTTGCCCTACATATCACTACATGATCCCGTTCCGCATGTCATGTTCATGCTCTCTTCCAATTCATCCTCCATGTCTCCTAAACCTTGGCATCCCTCCTACATCCTCTATAGAATCCCTCTGAACCCTACACCCTAAATTCCAAGCCTAAAATCTCCAGAGTCGGCTTACAGGCTTCATCGAGACGGGTGAGACAATAAATGGCCGCTTTTGCGACGAGCTTTGCATCTTGGACTGACATAAATCTAGGGTTTGTGCTTTAGGAGTTGGGGTTTTGGGGGGTTACGCCTCACATAATATTTGATATGAAAACACTACCCTCCTCCTAATGTTGCGCATGTCCATGATATTTGGTCTCAGGATTTGGGGTTTAAGGCTTGGGATATCAGATCTGTTAGGGACGGGAGGGGTCACGAAACAGTTGGGGGGAAGGGATAAGGGCCTTATAGGCCCCCCGGGCCCCTGGCAACCCATGTTTTTTTAAGATGTACCCTCCAAACGTTAGACGACCCTGGACCCTGAAGCCCAGGTACAAACAATTCGTCTGGAGCAGTACAGAGCAAAAACAAAACACAACATTCGCACAAAACCCTGGACCTGAACAGACTGTACAGACCCCAGGTGCATGCCAGATGCTGCGGTGTTGAGAACCTCATTTCCCTGTTTTCGGGAGCCAACGTTCTTCATAAAGAGCAAGCTATATCCAAAAAAGGGGATTTGTTATTCCCAGGTCTCTGGGGCTCCTAGGATGATAAGGGAGGTGACAGTTGAATGAGTCTAGTGCGGACTTAACCGACAGGGTTTAGGGCTTAGCGGACTACATCCCAAACCCGATAGTCTCTCTTAAGTAGATGGACTATAGATTTGGGTAGATTAAAATAAGATCCCCATACACCCCATATTCTATCTGTTTAAATGGGACGATACCCTAAACCCTTAACCCTAAACCCTACACTGAAAGTGCTCAGCCCTTCGCCAACCATGCATGCAGAGTAGCTTAGGCTTCTGGTGCGAATGAGCTCCAATGAACGGGCGGGCCGGCTGCTGAGCCAAAATAATGGGTTTAGGGATTAGGGTTTAAAGTTTAGGGTTTAGGGCTTATAGGGTTTAGGGCTTAGGGCTTATAGGGTTTAGAGCTTAGGTTTCAGGATGTTTAGGGTTTGGCATGGAGGGTTCAGAGTACAGAAGTCAAGATGTGCGGTTCAGGCGAGGATTTAGCGGGGGTTTTGAGTTTCCAAACCCCTAGGCCCAAAACCCGCAACTCTATGGCTCAAGGTTCCAGGGTTTAGGGTTTAGGGTCTAGGGGTTTAGAGTCCCATGGTTTGACTTGATCGGTTCTGCGAAGACCTAGGGTTTCGGGTCTAGCATTTAGCCCTAAACCGTAAACTGGAAACCTTCAACCCCATAATGGCGAGGTTCCAGCTCTGGGCTTAGGGTTTGACAGACCCATAACTCACAAAATCTTGAAGTTGTTTTCAGGATGCTCACATCATCTTAGATGAAGCTTCCCCGGAAAACGATAAGCTACTTGTGTGGAAATTCGTTTTACATCATGGCATCATTGTCAACATTTCCCGCACTTATCCCCCTCAGAACCAACTTACAGCCAGGGGGCCCTAAGCCCTAAACCCGATACATACTTACCAGGTACCCCAGTGGTACCCCTTTACCCTTTTTATTTGGGGGTCTCCTTGTTGAAACAGAACAGTAGGAAAAAGGGTACCCGTATTATTTAGGGCTTACTGGGAAACCTAGCTTGTAATCGCTTGAAAGGGTCCCTCTCTTTGCATGCATGGTAAAGCTTCTTGCATGACCTCTACACTAGTACCCCCCGTTGGGTCCCCCATTGATTTGGCATAATAAGGGTAAATAAACCTAAACCCTAAACCCCTAGACCCTAAACCGTAATAAGGGTTAATAAAAGGGCAACCCCGGGCGCTGAGAGTTGAGAGGATAGGAAGCTACAGTGGTGGAGTGGTCTGATATACCGCGGTCTCTGGGGAACATACAAGCGGATTTTCCGGGGTTGAGGATGTAACACCCTAAACCCTGGACAGTCCTTGCATCTATTGTATTAGTTGGAGAGATTCAAAACAGTCCCGTTTGATGCGTGGCTAGAGCCCCCCAAAGCCCTAAACCCTAAACCCAAATTGGAATCTCTATGTCTCCACGGTTCCTGAGTTCCTGATTTTGAGAAATAGTCCTTTCCATAGGTCTCATCAAGTGCCCACATGAGCCATAGTCTAGACTCGTAGTATCCCCCTAAATAGGCCGTATAGTAATCCCCCGTATAATCCCCTATCTAACCCACTTTGAGGAGTTTAGACTATAGCTCACATGTGCCCACATGTATGATCTCTGAATAACCCCTGCAACATTCTGATTGAGTTCCTATTAGCAATAGAGTCTGTATTCTATAACCATTGCGCTGCTCAGCCAGTTACATCCTTTTACGCCATGCTTGTACACACCCTAAAATGTTGGACCTGTTCTGGCTGCCCGTCAAAGGCCAATCTTTAAAGGCTTTCTTTACGAGCATCAGCTGGGAAAGTTTTTGCAGTATTTCGCCAAGGAGGCCAGCATCGTGAGCATCAGCTGGGAAGGGTTTGGCGGTGTTTCGGCAAGGAGGCCAACATCATGAGCATCAGCTGGTAAAGTTTGGGCAGCATTTCGGCAAGGAGGCCAGCATGAGCATCAGCTGGGAAAGTTTCGTCAGTATTTCGGCAAGGAGGCCAGCATCATGAGCATCAGCTGGGAAAAGTGTGGTGGTATTTCGGGCTTCACAGTCCTAACAGACTCCAGATTAAAAAAGCTCCAACATTAATCTCCTGTCTCAGCTGCTTTGGTTCTATATACAAGCCAAAGGGAATACCTGAGCCAGGAAAACCCTAAACCCAAAACCCTAAAACGCCCAAGCTGTTTGGCTTCAGTTTTCTAAGGCGCTGGTCCGCGACCGAAGTGTTTGCAGCGAGCAGGCATGGCGATCATCGTGATTATTATTATAGTTTGTAGTGTTAATAGTTTATTAATTATTGCTCAGACTATTAGTATGAGTCATTAGTTGTGTCATTACTGTTAATTTTTGTTTCGGGATTTAGTCAGGAAGCCTTTAAGTTGGGTACCACAAACAACTATTGCAAGTCTCATTATGGCCCTAGTAAGTCCACATTTAGGGGGCTAGCTTGCCGTGGTGGGGATGGACCTAAAAACTCAAGAACGTTTTCAAGGGTTCGGGGTTTTGGCTCTTGACTGTTGTGGATGAAGGTGTCTCGTCACACAGCCACCTGACGTTGGAGTCTCCTACAAAAATTGTTGGACAGAGGCTTCAAGAAAAGAACAGGCTTTAGGAGGACCCACCCCCCCACCCTGGAATTGTGGCAAAATAGGAATATAAGAGGGCCCTAACATAAGCCTTATTATCCCTTGTAGTCACTATTGCTAGGCGGGCGGTCCACCTAAAAGATGCTGTTGGTTTCCTTTAGGGACGAAGGCCTGTACATCTTAACTGAGCTTGTCTCTAGCTTCAGCCTTTAGGGCTTGCAAACTTGGATGCACATGGCTTCCGAGCCTTCCAACTTTGTTGATCACAAACACACGCACACAACTTCAGAATCAAGATTTGTATCCTAGAGTACGCCCCATATGTGGTTTTTTTTGCTAGGCCTATAGCTTTGTACGGCCTTGGTTGGAGCTCTTTGTTTGCGGAGTGTGGTCCCAGAATCCCTAATTCCCACATGTACCTGTAACCAAAAAGGCCGAAGCCAGACCTCTCAACCCCATACATCCCAGCATACTCCCATGAACCCTTTACCCTGAAGAAAACCCTAAACACTCAGCAAATGTACATCTCAAAGCTTAGGATTTCTTATGCCCTGCCTAATCAAATTGTGTAGTTGATCCAAGTCTTGTAAAGAACTAAAGGGGCAATGTATAGGGTGCTCCTCAGGTGCTGTTATACTCTTCTTAAAGGTTCATTTGCTTGAGTCACTTCGTATAACACGGGTTATGGCCATTCTTCCTTCACTCCAGAAGCCACAGGCTGTGACTAGCGCCTGGCATTGAATGGATGGGAACAGAAACTTTGGCTTAGGCTTTGGGGTTGCAGGTTATAGGGTTTACGGTTAGAGGGTTTAGGGTTATAGGGTTTAGAGTTATAGGGTTTGGGGTTATAGGGTTTAGGGTTATAGGGTTATAGGGTTTAGGGTTATAGGGCCTAGGGTTTTAGGGTTTAGGGAGTTGAGGGCGTAAGTTTGCGGTATATTGTTCGGCGGAACTGGCCAGGTGGACAGTGAGAGCTTTTGCTCTTGGAGACCTGGAAGAGAGTAGAGTGAGGTAGCAGAATCTGTGGCTCCACTTCACGTTCAACTCATGATGTTGCTACTATTTAGGGTTTCGGGTTTGGGGCAAGGGTCCAAGTATATAGGGGACTGTTATAGGGTTCATGAAAGGAGATACTAGGAGCTTAGACCTTAAACCCTCACCCTAACTCCTTGTATAGGGGTTAATTACGGGGGATACTAGGAGTTTAGACTTTAAGCC